GCCCCCACCTTTCGTTGAGGCTGACTTTTTTTTTTTTATGTCATGTACCCTTGGATTTAATGTTCCATTTGGTCCTGGCCTAAGCCTCAGGCTGATTCTGTTTTCTACCATTGCTCTTTTGGCAGATCCTTCTGTCCTGCAGGGGACTTCATCTAGTCTGGTTCAGATTTGGCCATTGGCCCTTAAGGTAGTCCTGAGTTGCAGATTGTTCCTAGTCCCTTCTTGTTTGCCACCATGCAGTTGGCTTTTGAAAGTCCTGGCTGTTTCTGAATTTCTATGCCCCTTAATGGGCGAGAAAGAGAAAATATGTTTGTATTTGCTGTATAATTCCTTGTCCATTGGCGGACACATGCCCCACACCTGTTTTTTGCTTTGCCCTGGTACTGGTTTTTTTTTCACAGAAGTGGGTTTCATTCTGGGTAGAGGAGGGCATATATCGGGGCTGACTTACAATTTTGCCAGTGTCCTAAACCTTCTTGTAGGCATCAAAATAACCTGACATTGTCTGGGTAAACATGTTTGTGTGCAGAATTATTGGGCAGCTATTAATGTGCAAAGTCATTATTTAACTAAATTACAAATTATGCCTTTTTCCCATCGCTTTTTGTTTTTTTGTTACTTTTACTGTAAAACCTGAGGCTAAACAAGTAAATATAGATAGATAGATATTCAGTTAACATTTTTGGCTTTTCAGAAATATTCCGTGACTACCTTTTTTAAGTAACCACCATGATCCTCCTAAATATAGTCTGTATGATTCTTGATCTGTTCATGATAAGCTTTTGCTGAAGCAGCATCCACAGCCTCACAAATATGTATAGTCTTTCCTCAGAGCTTCAGAGAAGGGCCCACAAGTTCTCAATAACATTCAAATCAAGTGAGAAAGAGGGCTAGGTCATTATTTGGCAATCGTTGAGGTCTTTGCTGGCTAGCCCAGCAGTGAAGTACTTGGATTCATGCAATAAAGTTTATCGGTTTTTGGTTTTGTTTTGGTTTTTTTACTTTTTCTACTATTTTTTTTTTTTTTTTTTTTTTTCCCCCTCTGATTCTTTTCTGTACCTCTGCTTCAGGAAAATGTCTTTCAGGAACTGCAAGTAGGTGTCAAGTTGATGTTTAGTCCAACTTCAACTCTACATGGTTCAGCTAGCTCATCCTTATTGATGGCC